ATTTTTCATCGGGTCAGGATGAGAGGGTCCAGGGCTTTCAACGATTTGCCTGCACTAACGTTAGTCATTGGTGTCATGTCGTTGATGCATGGTCGTTGGTGTATGGTCGTTGATGTATAGTCGTTGGTGTATGGTCTTTGGTGTATGGTCGTTGATATATAGTCGTTGGTGTATGGTCGTTGACGTATAGTCATTTATATATTGGTGTCTTATCATTGATGTATGATCGTTGATATATAGTCATTGGAAATTGATCGTATACTCGCTTGTATTTGATCATTGATGTAGAATCACTGGTATCTGACATAACTGGTATCTGATTAATTATGAATGATCATTGACGTATGATCAAGTATGTATGACCACTGATTTATGAATATTGATGTATGGTCATAAAACTATGAACATTGATAAAGGTGCACGCCTATTCTCAGAATATGAAACTTATTTTACCCCAATATAGTTAATCTAGCGCATGTCCTGTAATAGATTTACTACATCTATCAAATTTATACGATATTGAAGAAGACATAGTAGTTTAGTTTCCAAATTCGAATGCTATCTTCATGTAAATATGGCGTTAAGTATGGATATATATCCGTGTATGTATACAGTATGTATGGGTATATAATGTAAACTTATATTAATTAGATAAATAGCTTTGAGTTTAGCGGCATGTGTGTGTGTGTGTAGGTGTGTGTATATGTAAGTACGTAAAAACAATACAAACCAATATTCAGATATTTTTTTCAAACTTTGAAAGTCTCCCTTGCCAATATCATCATAATAATAGCACTTAAACGTGTTTATACTATCTCATAAGTATGTCAAACTGAATGTATACCGCATTTTGAGCATTCTATATGAATCTGTTAATGCAAATCGTTACCCTCCTTCTTTATTCCCCATGTGTTTACCCTATTATGACCCTTTATTAATTTTATATTACTATAACCTTGAACTTTTACCTGCTTGCGTTGTTGGTTATGCAAGAGTCACTCGTCAAATCTCGGCAGATTCCGTACCTACATCAAGTTAAAGACATATAGATGAAGGGTATCGGAATCGGCCGAGGTTAGCCGAATGATGCAAGAGTATGTGCGAATGTAGGAAGAGCCCATCGCCAATCATCCGTAACTGACCTTGATAATGGGTAGTGATATAGTGTCTCATAGAGCGGCGATTGACTGCTTCTTAGTTCTACTCGATCTTTTAAGATCATTTTTGAACTATTTTCCTTCGAAGGCATATATTTAGCGCTACTCTAGTGTTCCTTATGTTTTTCTCTGTCCAAAGTAAGTTCCCAACTCTGATTTTTTACTTATTCTACTACTTATATTATTGATACGCATGGACGTATAGGCAAACCCCGGGCCCGATACTACTATAAACGAATTGTCAAGTTTCCTCTTAACATAAGAAGTTAACGTAACGAAATATCTTACCTTGAAAATGCAGCTTCCGCGTATCATATCGTAAGTATCATGGAAACGCAAGTAGATACCTGATGGTGAAATTAAACTCCATGGTTTCCATCCCAAACCATTTCGTAGGGATAGGGGACACTCGGGCCGCTGTTTATATACGTCTAATATCATATATGCAGACCGTCGATATAATTTAAATGTTCCATCAGGTTAAGTGATTTGGCTTGAAATTAAACTACCGCACCAGTCTTATCCACTGTGCACTATTTATAGACCCCATGACAGCGGTAATACGTTTTGGGAACAATTTAAATACTCCATTGAAAAAGCACATGACGAATCTTCACTTATTATTATAGTAGGCGACATTAATGTTGATCTCTTTGTTGAATCTGATCGTGATATTATGTCGATGCATCAACCGTCCAATATTATCAAACAGCCAACACGTGTGTGTCGCACGCGCGAGTCACTCCTTGACCCAATTCTGAGGCGTGTTACGTTACTCGATCAGATGTTATCAGTATAGATCAAGATATTTCTGCTCACGAAGCGACTATGGTAGATATTAAAATTAATATTTCGTCAACAACTTCTTTTTATAGGAACATTTGGTGATATAAAAACGATGATTTCTTAAAATTTAACAGGCTTATTGAATACACTACTTTGAATGACCTATTCCAATATGCTTCTTCGCCGGATGATATGTGTACTATTTTCACTGCTAAATATCTAGATATTGCTCGTCTATGTATGCCTACTAAACTTATAACTATTAGACCAAACAACAAGCCATGGTTTACATCGGAATTGAGACGTGAAATTAGGAAACGAGGAACGCTGCATAAACAAATCAGACGTTTTTTTTTATGAAACTTTATTACGAAAATATAGGGAACAAAGAAATCATGTTAATAACTTAGAGAAAAGGACTAAGGAATTATTTTAATGTTGATATTAATGGGTTATTTGACAATTTTGTTTCAACCAACCAGAAATGTTTCTGGAAAATGATTAGAAGACTAATTAAAACTAATGATTCATCACACCAAATTCCGATACTGTTAAATCCCGCCAGAAATTCAATTGAAACTGACGATAAAAATAAAGCTAATGTTTTGAATGAATATTTTGCATCTACATCCCATATAAATGAGCCAGATTCGCAACCATCCCAAGTGCCCTTAACAACAAACTCTCCTATCAATAATATTCCAGTTAATAGTGACGAAATAACAGATTTATTAAAATCTTTAAATGTAGGTAAAGCGGTCGGTAGCGATAAAATTAGTCACCAAATGTTAGAAAATACAGCAACCTCTACGGCTTATCCCTAATGTTTCGTTAGTCACTAGAAACATACACCAGTCATGCCTATTTTTAAACATGGTGATAGTTGAAGTTACAACACAAGTAATTACCGCCCAATACCTCTTATATTTACAGTAGGCAAAGTGTTTGAGAAGTTAATTACAAAATATCCTCATAACTATTTAATCGAAATTACATTGTTGTATAAATATTAGTCTGGTTGTCAACCCGGTCATTTAACGGTGCACCTACAATTGAAATATATAATAACTTGTCTTGTATTTTGCGATGTTTCCAAGGCATTCGACCGAGTCTGGCATAGTGGACTATTTAACAAACTAGAAAGTATTGAGCGAGTGGTAAGTTGCTTACATGGATAAACATATTCAACAAACTGGTCAAAAGCAATCGATGATTAAGTTTAACCCAGCTAAAACTGAGACAATATTAGTAGTAATCTAACGTTTGACGACGTAGACATAAATTTTGTTGAAAGCTAATTAATACATACATTGTTTAATGCGTTAATGCGTATACGACAGTANCTCTGGATCCGCCACTGAGGGGGCATTTATGGTGTAAATGATATATGTATCAATCTAGCGTTAATGTAGGTCCTCGATCCTGGCACTAAGGGCACCTGTAATTGGACCTTGAACAGAGTCTCAAAACAATTAGTGAAATACTGTCTATATCCAGGAACACTTGCGAAATTTTCTGCGCTTCACATGAGTTGTTTATCTGCTGAGTTTATAAAAACAATAGATAGTTTCATTGCGTTTATTTTACAAATTTGTTTATAATTGGTACCTGGTTATGTAATATTATAGTATATACTTTAATTGAGTCGAGGTATATGTATGTACCAGTGAAGACCAGACCAACATTTCTAGCGTGAGGTTAATTTCACAAGTAATCAAGATTTAATGCCCTGCAATAGTGGTTCAATTAAGTCTAATAGATGTGCTTTGAGGTTCATATATCTATATAGGAAAGGATGAAACCGCATCGAATCAGTTTACAAGTGTGTGCTTGCTATATGGGAATGCTATCTTTAATTATTTACTAATGCAATGGAACAGTATTTCCTTTATTGAATCGACACGGTTCTTGCCTCTTGGCACAATTCGTTGGCACTTTGGACAGCGACTAGATGTTGGGTCAGAAATTGTCACACGTTCTTGTCTCTTAATTGACCTTTATGTCCTATATACTTGCCTAATAGCGTATCAATAAAGAAGAGCTATCGTATTCTACAAATTCGGGTGCCTAGAGCCATAACTATTACGAGACCACCAATCCCGGTCATGTTGCCGCCTTCCGATGCCTGCTCACTGAGTTTTATTGCGTATATTCGTTCGTCTGGGTACGTGCTCCGGACGAAGACAGTAATTTTCTACATATAAATCCATCTTTTAATTGTTCAATCTTGTCATCTCTATTAGCCAGAAGCCGAGGTTGTATTTTGTTGGCTTACTATCGAATTTCCTAAGCCAACATTACCATTTTACGCGACCTCAGCTCACTGGCGGTGCGTCGCCAAGACCTCTATGAAAATCTGCCGTAAACTAGTCTTCTCCCGGTAACACATGTCGTGAAACGCTGTTCGGCATCATACACGCAAATAGGGCGATTCCTGAAGTGTGCTCCTGATAGATATAACTTCGTATTTATCTGTCAATATTGGATTGTTATTTAAAATTCAGCCACATCGATTATTTTGTGATATATTCTGAGGATAGTATTCATCAAAATGTGTCGTGACTTGCTACAGTATAAATCAAACACGACAATTAGAGGGAATTATTTTTAATTTGGAGTTTGCTGTTCGTGATAAAGAATTCTCATCCATTTTAAAGTCTACCCCATACGAAGAATGACTTAAGTGAACTTCATTCAGGTGGAAAGGGAATTAAAATTTAAACGGGAATTAGATATACGCATCGACTATAAAAGTAGCACTGCTAACTTGGGAATTAACAGAAAATTGCTTTTACACGTGAAAATGGGAATGAACAAAACAAGCCTGAAAGCTCGTGAGTCTGGTATCGAGTTATCATAGACATTTCTTGAGAGAGAGAGAGTTCCACGTTAATTGTATGTTTTGACACACGATTTTGCAAGTGGGAAGCAATCAACAGCAGCAAGGGTTCAGTCGAAAACGCCTTGTCATTTTAATGAGGTTTTCATAAGCATATTTCTGTGGTGAGTGTGTGTCTTACAATAACAACAAGTGACAATGTCCCTGTCTTTTTGCAGTCGTCCATGGAACCTCCATATCAGCGCCCAGGATTCGAACTCAGGTAATCCTGATAACTTCGAAGGCAACTGTTTGTGCTGGGCTCCTAACTTTACAACACCCAAGATGGCGTTGATTGAACAGGGTGATTCGGCTCCCCCGGAAAACTGCCAGCGGCTTGTGATTCTCGGATCTAGTAAAGTGGGTAAGACTTCTCTCGTGGCTCGATTTCTGTACAACAAGTTCGACGATAATTACACCCCTACCATAGAGGATTTCCACAGGAAAGTGTACCGGATAAAAGGTGAGGCCTACCGGTTGGATTTATTGGACACTTCCGGTAACCATCCATTTCCGGCCATGAGGAGACTTTCCATGATTACAGGTAGGCTTTATACCTTTACAACTCGGTATACAATTTATATAACAGATTGTTGTTAAATAAAATTAAAGAAAACTAGGTTAAGTTAAAGTTAACTGTACTTATAAAATCGATATGCATGTATTAGTCAATCAGAATAAAATTTAATGAAGACTTCTTCAGATTTACGAAGAAAACTATTTCTTTCTCGTGTATGTAAGATCCATTTTTTCACATCATTTTTTTCAACATGAACTAGTATGCGAAACAGTCACCTGGATGTTTTCTGTAGCAAGTATAGCTGAACTTATTGTAGCTAGAGGTTGATTAGAAGCTGTTCATAAAGAATCATACGATATTTAGTTTAGTTTACATTATTCAATGTCACGAACTGAGAAAATATGGGGTTCTCATAAGTATTTGATACATTTGTATAGTTATTTAATTAAGGTTGGTAAGCAAGTTCCCGTCTCAACATAAGTCTTGTCAGTGTCTTATATTAGGAGTCCCCCTCCTGTCAATTACCAGGGTTCACATTGCTTGCTATCAGCAATCCCCGGCTGTTAATCGCTATGCTTTATAGTGCTGGTTGGTAGTCACTGTCCCGTCAAACACAATGCCTAACAGAGCTTGTTGTCAGTAATCATCCTCCTTGCTATCTCAACGCCAAACAGTGCTATTAATCACTAGTCCCTATCCTGTCAAACGAAAGTAATCGCAGTGCTTGGTAACACTAGTAACCCTCCTGTCTAAAACATGCCATCTCCGTGCTTGGTAACTTTAGTAACTATCTTGTCTAAACCAGGGCTCACAATGATTGGTAACATTGTTAACCCTCCTGTCTAAACCAGGGCTTCACATTGCTTGATAACATTAGTAATACTCCTGTCTAAACCAGGGATCACATTGCTTGATAACATTAGTAATACTCCTGTCTAAACCAGGGCTTCACAGTGCTTGATAACATTAGTAACTCTCTTGTCTAAACCAGGGATAACAGTGCTTGATAACATTGTTAACCCTTCTGTCTAAACCAGGGATCACATTGCTTGATACCATTAGTTACTCTCCTGTCTAAACCAGGGATCACAGTGATTGATAACATTAGTAACTCTCCTGTCTAAACCAGGGATCACAGTGCTTGATACCATTGTTAACCCTCCTGTCTAAACCAGGGATCACAGTGCTTGATAACATTAGTAACTCTCTTGTCTAAACCAGGGATCACAGTGCTTGATAACATTTGTAACTCTCTTGTCTAAACCAGGGATAACAGTGCTTGATAACATTTGTAACTCTCTTGTCTAAACCAGGGATCACAGTGCTTGATAACATTGTTAACCCTTCTGTCTAAACCAGGGATCACATTGCTTGATAACATTAGTAACTCTCCTGTCTAAACCAGGGATCACAGTGCTTGATAACATTAGTAACTCTACTGTCCAAACCAGGGATCACAGTGCTTGATAACATTAGTAACTCTCCTGTCTAAACCAGGGATCACAGTGATTGATAACATTAGTAACTCTCCTGTCTAAACCAGGGATCACAGTGCTTGATAACATAAGTAACCCTCCTGTCTAAATGAGGGCTTGTTATTACTTATCCGAACCTATTGGTTGCTTGTTATTGTTAATTCCTTTTAAGTCAAGCACCAGGCTTCATAATGTTTTTTTATCAGAAATAATCCCATTCTTGGCAAAATCCAGGCCCAATGGAACTTGTTATCAATGGTCCCTTTCTTGTTAAACACGGGGTCCATTTGAGTTTGTTATCAATAGCAATGTTTCCTGTCAAACTCGGAGCCTAAAGAAGCTTGTTATCAATAGCCCCTTTTTTTCTGTCAAACCCAGGGCCTTATGGAGCTTGCTATCAATAATCCCTTTCTTGTCAAACTCGGAGCTTAATGAAGCTTGTTATCAATAATCCCTTTCCTGTCAAATTGAGGGCCAAATGGAGCTTGTTATCAGAAGTCTCTTTCATGTCAAACTCCAGGCTCAATGGAGCTTGTTACCAGTAGTATCTTTCCTTTAAAACTAAGGCCCAAATAACGCTTGTTATCAATAGTCCCCTTCTTGATCAAACTTCACACAATTACAAAGGACCATATATCTTGGACAAGTTCGAATTTCAGGGTTTTTGGGTCAAGGTCACCATTACTTTTTTTTGGAAAATTCATTGTCAGCGCTCTAGCGGCTTCATTCCATCAGGGATTTCGATCAAACTTCACACAATTACACAGGTCAATAATATCTCGGACAAGTTTGCGTTTTATGGTTATAGAGGTGAGGTCAAGGGCGTTACTATTTATACAAAATCCTGGACAAGTTGAAGCCAGTGATTGACTGATGATCGATATATAATTATCAAATATCGATCGATTTGTCCTGTTCGATTCCGATTATCGATAAAAGATTCCATAATCGATATAATCGGTTCATTACTGAACTTAAAGTGTCAAGTGTTCATTTATTCTGACTTTGGTATCGGTGTGTTACTGAAAGACAATATGGTGTCGTTGTGTTACTGTGGGACACTACGGTGTCGTTGTGTTGCTGAGTGACACTATGGTGTCGTTGTGTTATTGAGTGACACTATGGTGTCGTTGTGTTATTGAGAGACACTATGGTTTCATTGTGTTGCTGAGATTCACTACGGTGTCGTTGTGTTACTGAGAGACACTATGATGTCGTTGTGTTACTGAGATAAACTATAGTGTCGTTGTGTTGCTGAGATACACTATGGTGTCGTTGTGTTACTGAGAGAAACTATGGTGTCGTTGTGTTACTGAGAGACACTATGATATCGTTGTGTTACTGAGAGACACTAGGGTGTCGTTGTGTTACTGAGAGACACTACGGTGTCGTTGTGTTACTGAGCGACACTAGGGTGTCGTTGTGTTACTGAGAGACACTATGGTGTCGTTGTGTTACTGAGATACACTATGGTGTCGTTGTGTTACTGAGAGACACTATGGTGTCGTTGTGTTACTGAGAGACACTATGATATCGTTGTGTTACTGAGAGACACTAGGGTGTCGTTGTGTTACTGAGAGACACTACGGTGTCGTTGTGTTACTGAGCGACACTAGGGTGTCGTTGTGTTACTGAGAGACACTATGGTGTCGTTGTGTTACTGAGATACACTATGGTGTCGTTGTGTTACTGAGAGACACTATGGTGTCGTTGTGTTACTGAGAGACACTATGATATCGTTCTGTTACTGAAAGACACTTTGGTGTCGTTGTGTTACTGAGAGACACTATGGTGTCGTTGTGTTACTGAGCGACACTATGGTGTCGTTGTGTTACTGAGAGACACTATGATATCGTT